CATCAACCATCTGATGCACTTAGCAGAAGCCATCGTCAGCCTTAACTTTATAAAAGTTTTCTGAAGACCTAACAAGAAGGAAAATACAACCAAAATATAACAAGATGATACAATGTAGACACTATTAGTTGAACAAACAGATCTCGCCTGATGTTAAGCCTACATTGCTGTCTCAAGCTGGTCCGGATGTTCAAACAAACAGAGTAATGTTGTGATAGTGCCAAAAGGGCCAGTGTTTACACTTCTGAGGGAAATCATAACATGAATGATTTACTTAGTTGTCTCTGCATAAAAGCCCATGATAGAATTTACTATCTTAACCTCTAAAACACTTGTCTTCTATTAATTAACTAACAAAATAACAAAAATACTATTATTTATTTTTGCACTTCTGCTAGAATAGCTACTGTAAATATATTTGGGAAGCACAGACAAAACTTTTGGACAATACACATATAGTGTAAGTATATAATAACAGCTAATAATATCATTCATGTATATATAAAATAAATAATGCATGCATGTATTTAAGAAAAATATGTTACGTTTATATACTAAATATTTTTATATATGATTTATTATGAATATAAATATATACATGTAAATATTTTCAAAATATATGCTGTGTGTCTTTATATATACATAATAAATATACACAGTACACACACATATGTAAACAAAAACTTTTATTTTGGATGTGATTAATCACAATTAATTGTTTGATAGCACTAATATATATACTGTCATCTTTCCCAAAAAGTCTCATGGCTGTATTAGATCAAAAGGGTGCTTCTACTCTAAATACTGAGCATGTGATATTTCAGTTTTTTTTTTTTAATAAATCTGCAAAAATGTCAACAATTCTGTGTTTTTCTGTCAATATGGGGTGCTGTGTGTACATTAATGAGGAAAAAAAATTAACTTAAATGATTTTAGCAAATGGCTGCAATATAACAAAGAGTGAAAAATGTAAGGGGGTCTGAATACTTTCCGTACCCACTGTATATTATTTCTCAAATGAAACCGTTTTCAACATCTTATTCAACAGTTAAGCTCTCTGTACTTTTTATCACTACAATGTTAGGATATCAATGTAACATCATAACCGGTTGAGAGTGAGACAGACTTCAAATTCAGCTGAAGCATCTGTCATTATAATATGTTTTATCACGACCCTATGAGTCAAACAGCTCTGAGCCACAGCAGGTGTGAATGAGTGAGTACGTTTGAGGATCACAAATCATAATCAAGATTATTAACGTACCTGCTTTTCAGCAAATCAGTTATGACTACTGGACGAACAGCTGACATTTAGTCATCCTCATGTCAACCCGACATGATCCTTGTGGAATGAAACCAAATGAATATCTTAAAGATCACAGAGAAGCTACCAAATCTTTTCTGACTTAAATTAAAGAAAGCAACATGAAAGGCAAGAAGGGCTTAAAAAGGATCAATCTTTAGGCATATGCCTCCTACTCTTGAGATGAGCCACAGCATTACACATCCCATGAATGTGTTATATGAGTGTGGGCAGTTCTGTACAAAACCAAAGACAGCATCCGAACGCAGCCCCCATTATTTATGAGGGCGGTCAACTACAGTTTAATCAATGTGCTACAATCTCACCTGTATCTTTGGCAGGAACATATGGTGGTGTTGGCATAGAGAGATAAGGATTAGGACAGTTTTTTTAACCTACTTTAGAACTATCTAATCTGTATTCGGCAGGTAGAGCAGGGGATGCATTAGAAAATAGACAGGTAGACAAGTGAAGCCTGTGTGCCTCTTATTGTTGTCAGGCTAGTGCAGGTGTGACAACTTCCCTATTTAAATGCATAAAACTCATTAGAACTCAAATTTCATAACACTAAAACCAGTAGGTAATGTTTGCTAAGGTTAACAACACTATAGGCTATTCCTATGGTTCCCAGTTGTTAAATTCTCTAAACATAAGTATTAAACTTTGGCACTTTTTGAATTTGGTTCTGCTCTTGTCGAGCCATTTTACATATTGCCATCATCATCATCGTCATTTGTTTTGGTACACCTTGATTTGGTATCATATCTTCTCATCATTAAAAACAAATACATTGCTGAAAAACAGGTTGTGGTACACATAGCCTATATTTTTGTTGTGAAATTTTTTACTGATTTTCATGAAGTAAACCCAAGAATAACTTTCGTATTTTAAGTAATATTTTAAAATAAACACACACTGAACAACATAGATTTATTTGATTATAGACATAATTAGTTTTTTTAATCATATTAATTTAGTATAAAATATGATACGAGTAAACGTTCCTCAATATACCATACTATTTTAATAATTTGAACATCTCACAGTCATCTCAATCATCATCGTATTGCACTGCATTTGCATTATGTTTTGCCCCCAACAATAAAAACTACAGCACTTTAAACATATAGCCTACAACTAAGAATTTAAATATTATTGAGCGATATAGAGTGAAAGCTGATATTTATATGCATTTTATGTAGCCTGCTATACTGTTAGAAAGATCTCACTGATTCACATCAGAATTTCATCCTACTTTTTAGCCATGTATTAGCAACTGCACCAAATTGCATATTTTTGCTCAGTTTTATATATATATATATATATATATATAATGAGCCATTAAAGCATATATAATAATGAAATAGCCTAACACATGCCCTTTTTTATAGTTTCAATAAAATGTTCCATTTCTGATTTTTCTGACTATTATTTCATATGTCATGCTTTTCAGGGTTAAGCATCAATTATCATGAAAAAAGATCCCTCAGGTTTACAGCAGCTGTGTGAAGGTTACAGTGTTTCCCTCATCAAAAATTCATTTTTCCTGAAAGGGCAGTAAAAGGGCAAGGGCAGTCCCTGGGTGTTTCAGCATGAAACAGGCAGCGATAACCAGTCTCCTCCCAGTAATGCTACTCAGACCTCCAGGTGAAAAGCAATCAAAAAAAGCTTCACTCTTCACAAAATACAGTACAGCAAAGCACCAAAACATGTCAGTTATCAAAGGCAAAAACTGCTGTGTATGACTTGTTCATTAACATCTACATAATAAAAATAAACACTTGTCTAGTACAAATATGTCGCTTTGTTTCATAATTACAGTGTATAAGTTTTTCTTTATTTACCCTCAAAAAATGGAAGTGAAATGTGACAACATGCCCCGTAGGTGGAACACATTGTAACATCTGAGGGGCACGTTGTAACTTGACCATATGGACAGCTTAAAATCTTATCTGATCGAATGAAAAAAAATATACAAGACAAACTAAAATATTTTGTTAATTAAAAAAAAAACAAAAAAAACATATATATACAGTGGGGAAAATAATTATTTGATCCCCTGCTGATTTTATAAGTTTGACCACTTACAAAAAAATTAAGGGTCTATAATTTTTATGGTAGGTTTATTTTAACGGATAGAGACAGAATATCAACAAAAAAAATCCAGAAAAAACACATTATATAAAGGTAATATCGGTATCGGCCCCAAAAAACCAATATCGGTCGGGCTCTATTATGGAGCACAATACTGCTCCATGGATCAAAGAGCGACCAATTCAGCCACCCAAAGCAAATGGGGGTTATTTTAGAAACCGTTCTAAATAATATAAATTCAGAACTCTTGTCTCAAAATTGTTTCTCTCTATGAAAATTTCTTCAATTCAACAATACTGCCAGTGTTTCATTCTACAATGTCATTTCCAGATGATTTTTTTGTAATGTAAGTTCATAATACCTATACTATAGCATCGTAAAAAAGTAAACATTACTTAGAAAAGAATAAATAAAATTGTAAACATTACAAAGAATTTGCATAAAATCTAAATGTATTCACTTCATGAAGAGATAATACATTAAGCAAAAATTAATTGTTATATTAAAAGAGCGCTATTTCCATACTGTAAGAGACTTTCAGAATTAAAGTAATAATACTATGCATTGTGTACATTGCTGTTTGACATGTTTCAAAACTTAAAGTGAGTGACAGCATCTGCCAAGGCAACAGCAGAATTTCTGGGTATTAATATCGTAAAGTTCACTCTTTTTAGCGAATCGGTTCTTTTGAACGGCCTTTTCAATGATTTGATTCAGGAACCGATTCAGTGAATCATTCCAGAATTCGGGGTGATTGTGATTGTTTTAATGTCAACCGTATTTCTGGTTCTTAAAAAAAACGAACGCTTTGTTTGAGGTACTCATGTTACCAACAAGTTTTGCAGTGTCCCAGGATAAATTCATTTTACAAACAAAATAATCAAATATCAGTTACTACCATTTTAATTACAGCAAACCTAACTGTGCTCCCAATCAACAGACACAAATTAAAACCAACATAAGATCAGTCGATAACTTAAACTCGGTTCAGATTGATTCAGTCCTATTTGCGATTCGGTTCGAATGATTCTTTCCAAAGAACCGAAACAGACATCACTATGAATTATCGCTCGCAGCTTTCTAGCTTTGTTCTCTCCTGCGCAGCGCACAGATGGGAAGTGAAACTCAAAAACCCCCAAAAGACGGATATGATGATTCTATTTTTATCGAAATGTTTTGGAAATGTGTTCATAGTTCATAAAATGCATAAACAAATGAAAAGATGCAGATGTCGAGCATCCTTTTTATGCCACAAGACTGACAAAGAAACATGATGTTGGAGTCGTGCAAGCACAAAGGGATGCAAACAGTTTTTTTCCATCTTCAAGGACTGACATTACAAAATGTATCTTCAATCAAATAATTACACGCATATTGAAAGCGTGTGTGGTTAGGCATGATTTAATCTACTATCCTAGTCTAAAACATTAGGGTTGGTGATTTTTTCCCCCCACATCATTAAATATTTTTGCAATTAACGCACATACTGTAGAAGTGTACATGCATGAATGCCAATGCCAAAGTGACCACTCGAAATTGATGTTTTGCCTCTACAACAGAGACACTAAATGGAAACTGAAGAAATGCCACTGTCTATACTCACGTATGGGCGCAGCTTGCGATGCTGACAGGTTTGTGGTACACCTCCAGACAGATGGGACAGGAGAACTGGCTCTCCAGGCTTTCCCCAGGTGCGGCTGCTGCGGCTCCATTTTGCTGCTGATGCTGCCTGAGCTGAGCAGCAGACACAAAACTGCGGAACATCGCCATTATGAACACGGACCGCAGGATGAACCACTAATACTGCCGATGCAAATAGGATTCCGTGGTTTTAACGAATGTCTCGCAGGGAAAATGTGATTTACACGACATTAGATACCGCATCTGCGATCTCCAACAGTGTTAGCCAAGGAGAACACGCCGTTGTTCGAAAGAAGTAAACATTACATGGTAGCTTTAACGGAACCGTCTCGATCCGATTAGACCAACAAAATGATGGGAGTTGTAGTTTTTACTGCGATCATTTACAGCGAGTGACTGTTTAATAGAACTACATTTCCCAGATATTGCATTCATAAGAATTCCATGGAGCATAGCTAGATGGCGTCAACATGAATGTAGCGAATATGACACATAGGTCTACGTTGTCAATAATAAAAAAATAGGAATGAATATTATTTTATATGATAAAAAAGTAATAAAATTTGAATATTTTGAACATTTATTTTTGACTAAAAAAGCTAACCCTTTAATATACATTAAAGTCAGACGATGCATACTCTAACTTACAGCTAAAATATAATTAAACATACAAATAAATAATAACAACAACACGTATTTTTTATATTTTATATTAGAATGATATAGGAATTTCATACGAATGATATAACAGTTTTAATGTCAATAAACAAAATAAATAATTTTACAAATTTCAGAATATTAACAAATACAAAAAAATGTATTAAATAATAATTTAAAAAAACTTTACATAAGACCCAGTGCGCTTGCTTTGCTGTTTTTCCAAATCAAGAAGTGTGTGTATGTGTATGGAATTTACCAATAATTACACAGAAAATAAACATAACACATTAAGAAAACAGATAACATTAAAACATTGATGTCAGGCGATGTGAAAATTAAACATAAAAATAGCGTTAATAACATTGAAGTAATCAAACGACGCAAACATATGGGCGTGGTCACGGAACGTCATCAAAAGGGGTCAGGAAAATGCAGTACTGTAGTCACACGTGAAAACAAGCGTACGCCAATATGTGTCAGTTAAACGATTCCCTTGAATAAGTATTGAGAGAATTGCACACTTCTAAACGGCCTGAAGAAAAGCATCGTATGGTTGGACACGTTTTGTCTCTTAGTTTGTGAATTTGAAGCGGTCATGTGTCAAGTTGAAGAAGACTATAATGGCCTGGAGTGTAAGCAGGAGAAGATACCTGTGCCGACGTAAGCTGAATTGAACAACCTCTGTGTGACAACAAATAATTCAGAAACTAATTAAGAATGGTTTTACAATGTTTTGGACATCTATGGTAATTATTGTACCATTATATCGTTGCGGATATGACTCCATAAGTGTACCAACACCACAGTACTTTGTTGTAAACATAATGTGCATAGTGTACTATGGTGCAATGGTGGTACTTTGACACATGGCATGATGCTGAATCGCAATCATGTACTTGCACATTAATATGGTACTAAAAGAATACTATAGCACTACAGTGATTTATATTTTTTTGTTTGTTCTTATTGACAAATTGAACAAACTCCTATATGTGTGACACATGTTTAGGCTTAACAGGAAGTGTATGAAATGTAAGGAGGGAACTGCTGTGCTCATCATTCGGGTCAATGATTCATTTTGCCGGTAGGCGATTAATTAATCTTCTCAATGTGTCACTTACACTTAATTATGTGATTCAGCCTTATCAAAAACTTGATCTATCGGCTTACTAGGTCCTGCTTTAAGGAGTACTTCATACACAAGTTTCGGGCCATGCTGGGAAAGAATCGTGTCATCTTTCTCCAGGAGAAGGTAAATATATATATATAGAATATTAACAAATACAAAAAAATGTATTAAATAATAATTTAAAAAAACTTTACATAAGACCCAGTGCGCTTGCTTTGCTGTTTTTCCAAATCAAGAAGTGTGTGTATGTGTATGGAATTTACCAATAATTACACAGAAAATAAACATAACACATTAAGAAAACAGATAACATTAAAACATTGATGTCAGGCGATGTGAAAATTAAACATAAAAATAGCGTTAATAACATTGAAGTAATCAAACGACGCAAACATATGGGCGTGGTCACGGAACGTCATCAAAAGGGGTCAGGAAAATGCAGTACTGTAGTCACACGTGAAAACAAGCGTACGCCAATATGTGTCAGTTAAACGATTCCCTTGAATAAGTATTGAGAGAATTGCACACTTCTAAACGGCCTGAAGAAAAGCATCGTATGGTTGGACACGTTTTGTCTCTTAGTTTGTGAATTTGAAGCGGTCATGTGTCAAGTTGAAGAAGACTATAATGGCCTGGAGTGTAAGCAGGAGAAGATACCTGTGCCGACGTAAGCTGAATTGAACAACCTCTGTGTGACAACAAATAATTCAGAAACTAATTAAGAATGGTTTTACAATGTTTTGGACATCTATGGTAATTATTGTACCATTATATCGTTGCGGATATGACTCCATAAGTGTACCAACACCACAGTACTTTGTTGTAAACATAATATGCATAGTGTACTATGGTGCAATGGCGGTACTTTGACACACGGCATGATGCTGAATCGCAATCATGTTCTTGCACATTAATATGGTACTAAAAGAATACTATAGCACTACAGTGATTTATATTTTTTTGTTTGTTCTTATTGACAAATTGAACAAACTCCTATATGTGTGACACATGTTTAGGCTTAACAGGAAGTGTATGAAATGGGAATTATTAATAAATAAATTGATTGTTTTTTTTGTTTTTTTTCTTATGTTCTGCTCCAAAATATTTTCACCCCAGGATTTTGTTTGGAGCTGCAGCAATGTTTAGTTTATTTTCAATGAATCAGTTCCTGGTTCATAAAATGTCTGAATGACTCATTAGCAAATCAGACGAATCAAGATGATTTTTAAAAAATCCTAATCCAGTAATGACTGAAAATTGTATTTTTTTTCTGGTGCCCAAAACTGTAATTACTACAAGATTCTAATAAGCCTGGGAGGAGACAAAGTGATGATGATTAAGAATTAGCAGGGCTTATTGAATAATCTTCGTCTGAAATTCATCTTTGCTTTGTCTAGACTTTGTGCAAACTTTGTCTGAACTGGACTTCATCCTGTATTTTGTCTATCCAGCACAAATTTAAAAAGTGTTATTTTACCATAATAATAATAATTTTACAATAATTAAATGTATCAACTGTTGCAAGCATGGCAAGAGCATGGAAATAATAATTAATCTAAAATATAATAAAAATTACATAAATGCTTAAATAATAAATGATATAAATGCTTGAATGAATAAAAAAGCATAAAGAACATAAAACACAACACGCATGGTTTCTCTCGATGCGATCCTTCAACATCTACACTGACTGCTCATCTCCTCAGTTTCACTTGAACAACTTAAATGAATTGTTTGTTCACTGACCTTTACACTAATTGCTCTTCTTAGGTTCTTCTGGCTGTTTCTGGTGGCGCAGCCTCTTGCTCGATGCTCTCACAAGTTCAAGAGGTAAATACACCATGTTGCTCTCTAGGCATTTTTATTAAAAAACGGGCCATAGTGTGTGAGGAACATGTTAGCTTGTTTGCTGATTATTCAAAGTGGCCTACCAGCTCTAACCAGCAATTTAAAACAACCATTTGAGGCTTGGTTCCAGCAGTCTTTATTTCTCTAGTTTATTTTAGTTAATTTTTAGATCATTTAAGTCAAAGGAGAACTGGATCCTCGACTGAGCTTTGTTTCTCCCAAGATGATTTTTTTTTATACTACTATTATCACGATCATACACTAGGTAGATGCACTACTATCATATATTATCAATTCAACTGCACTGACACTATCAGATGAGAACAAAATTTTAACTGAATTGAGCTAGATAATGACACTAACTCTGTAATGTCAGCGTTGCTATTGAAATGAATTTAGCTAAATAATGGCACTGTTTCCTTCTGTAGAGCAGCTTATAGTTGAGTTTATTTCATAATTGACGAACATTGCAACATTGATACTGTTATTGACCTGAACTGAATTTACTTGAGCTGAATAATGACCCTGTTGTCTTCTGTAGAGCTGCTTTGCAGCTGAAATTGAATTTGTTTCATAATTGATGAAATTAACACTGTTATTTTCCTGTTAATTACTGTGAAGCTGCTTTGACACAATCTGTGTTGTTTAAAGCACTGTATGAATAAATGTGACTTTCTGCTTTCTTTTTTCAGGGGCTGAGTCGGGAGGCTCCCAAAAAGTTAAGATTTGTGCCTGGAATCATATACATTGACGGTAAATCTCTTTGAATTGGACACATAGGCATTATTCCTGTTTCTCAAATTTATGCTTTAGCATTGAACGTTTGTTACATTTGAAGTTGTGCACGTTATTTATTAGATGGCGGAGCTTGTGGTCGGAGTGCAGAGGAGCGGCAGAGGTCTAATGCTCTGCTGAAGAGCATCTTCACAGAGACTGGCTTCACTTACTTTATAGTTTCTCTAGAGCAGGTAAACCGACCCAATGCATTAACAGACTAATTTTCTAAAATCAAATAATCAATCATAACATGATTAGTCCACATCTTAAATGACATGAATCACTTTAGCTGCAGTACTTTCAGGGCATCACTTTGACTGTTGGTTGGGTTTGTTTGCAACTCCAGAGAGACTCTGACTGGAGGAGTGCTTTGCTCTTGACTGTGTTTTAGGTTTTCAGTCTGCCTACCTCTGTACTGGTGCCTGGCACATCTGATCCAGACCCATCCAATCCCAGCTATAAACAAGCCGTGGATCAGTATATCAAAGAGAAACAGACACTCACAGAAGAGAATGTAGCCAGTGCTGTGGCTCAGCTCAGTATAGAAGACTCTGCATATTCTCCCGAACACAAGCTGGCATTAGAGAGGCTGTTCTCATCAATGAAGACACTCACAGCCAAAGAGGATATGCTACAGACCTTAAGGTCAGTTTTCAGCAAACTTCTCTATTCTTTTTGCTTTTATTTTCTTTCCTTTTTGAGGTAGTCAGTTATCAAGCACACTCTCTGTAAATCTGATTCGTTTTAGCAAATTGTTCAGAAAGCTAATTTCACTGAATCATTTCACAAAACAGATTTGACTATTTGACTTTATGTAGAAATACCTATTTTTATACAAGGTTAAATAATGATTTTGTCACTACGCTTTTAATTTGGTTAATGGTCTTTACTAGTATTAAGTGTAAGTAAATGTATTTGTTCAACGT